TTCCTGGGGAGTAGCGTTCTTCCACCGATTCTTACCTATGACCTTTCCCTTAAGAAATTCAATACGGCGGCATCTCTCTCTCTTTTTTTTTTTTTGTCTAGGGGATCATGCTGCAAAATTCGGTGAAGTGTGAACGCTGAACGGTGCGAACCGCGTTCGACATCGCGAATTTGTTCAAAAGGTGCAAATTCCAGAAATTGTTTCGAAATCGGAGCTAAATGGAGTTGCCCTTGCTGTTATCTGTTCAGGGTCTGCCTAGGCCAGTCTTGTGTGAAACGTGCACGTCAGCCTCAGAATCCAGTTTCCAGACTAGACACGATGTGGGACTGTTTCCACGGCTGGCATCGCATGCACTATGGCAGAAGTAGTGGCGGGTGGGTAGGGCATCGTTTATGTCTATAATTCTTTGCTATCCTTATAAGTAGTACTTAAGGGAATGGAACAGACTGGGATTTGTGAAAACGAACATACAAAAAGGAGATGCAGGGTTTTTTTTAAAAAAATGTTCTTAGCTTTGGTCGAGAGATCATAGTAATAATTATGTGCCATCACGTCAATTCTGAAGTATGGTGACCCTTTCCAAATTTTTCTTTGGATAGAGTACTCAGAAGTGGTTGAACGCTCCCTTCTTCTGGGGTCACCCTGGGACCATCATGCAGCTTGCCCAACGCCTGGGTAGCCTTGGGCAAGCTGCATGAGGGTCCCCGGGTGGAATCAAACTCCTGATCAATGGCTCTGTTGCCAGAGACCTAACTCACTGAGTTATTCCATCACTGTATCCAGAGTTTAGAAAAGGAATTTTTTGGACTACAGTGCCCAGAATTCCCCACCGCCTTTGTGAGCTTGGGATTCTGGGGAGCAGCGGTTTCAAAATGGAATGTTTCCAAGCTTCATTCTGGAGATCATAAACCGTGGATGCGCCACAAAGGAGAACACTTACCGTGTGGGTTTCCTACATGGGCACGTGGCTGTGGCTTGCTTGAAATAGGAATACGGGGCCAGAGATAACCTTAGTCTGAGCCTGACGGGGTCTTGCTTCATTCATAATCTGGGTTTGATGCTGTGCGCATCCACAAAGCTCCCTTCAATGGATTATCTCCTGCTGTTGCTGTGATATTATGTGGAATAAGCCCCATATATATTATGCATCATAAAAATGGGGGTGTAGATGTAGCAAAAGAGCAGTGATAATAATTTTGGACCTCTCTTTATTAATATTATTATTTTTCTGTTTCCTACTCTTGGTAATCCCTTGGTGTTGGCTTCTATTCTAACTGCTCATGCCAACGTGATTCCTTATTAGGTGGGAGCTCGACTCTGGCCGATCGGAATATAACCATGCCTCCCGATTAAAATTCATGCATCTTTTCATCCTCTTGCCTCCTCCTGTACGGAATCTGCATGCGGGTGGGGTGGAGCAAGGGGGAATAGACCCTTCCCCGAAAGGACGAGCCATCTGGTGACGCTTCTTGGCGGCTCCGTACAGATGCCACGGAAGGCGGCATATGGAGACTTGCCCAACCGCTAGACACGCAGACACGGCGGTGGCAGCTCCATCCCGCTGGTTTCATTTAGCCTGTCGTGGACGTGACATTTTTGCCGGGCCCCCCGGGGCTGCTTGTACGAGGAAGGATCTCTCGGATGTGTGGCCGTGTGTGTCCCCTGCTCGGCCAACGCAGGCTTCTCGAAGCAGGCAGGTTATTCTGGAGGCCAAATTCAGGTGGCCGGTTGCTCCCTAGGTGCTTCAGGCCATTGAGATGCACCTGGCAACCAGGTAGTTGAATAGGTGGAATCTCATCAACGGGAGGGCCCAGTTGTGAAAACCCTCGGCTAGCTCCTGCAAATGCAGCCTCTTTCCCTTCATTCCAGGAAGGGCCAAGTCAGGGCTTGAGCACCCACTCGTCAACACTTCTGGAACACTTAAAATACATGTGTGTGCACGCACGCGCGCACACTTCTCCCACATGAGGATCAAGCTGCCTTCAGACGGTGCTGGTGCATCAAAGGCTCTTCTGAAGATGGAGTCAGAGAGAAGGAGAGAAAACCTTTCCCATCTCCCCCCCCCTTTGTTGCTAAGCAACAAAAGACTTTGGGGAGAGGCCTGGCCTAGATATGGGGTCAGCCCTGGTAACTTAAAGGAAATGTATAGAAACTGTTTTGTTTTGATTGGGTTTCGTCTTTTTCCCCCCCTCCCTCATCAATTTCTTTGCCTGCCTTCCTCAGAGAAATTAAGGCTGGAGGCCGGAGATCCGTGTTATTCTTCTTGCTCCCCCCCCATCTTTCTCCCTCAGAGAGTTTAAGCCGGGTACCAAGGAGGAAACGATGCTGGCCATCTGGATACTGACGTCCCTCCTCACCTTTGCTGCTGTTGGAAGAGGTTGGATTAGGGTTTGAGTTGAGTCCGAAAAACCTGTTTGACCAAAAGCCAACGGGGCAGGTGGGTGGGTGTCTGTGGAGAAAGACACGGAGAGAGAGAGAGATGGCCGAAGGGAAATAAAAACACAACACTGGAATCTCCTTGAAGGCACTTCACCAAACTCTTTCTTCTATTATAACTCTCTACCCCTTCATCGAGCAGTGGTCCAAGCATCTTCTGGCCCTCAACCTCCCTGTCTTTGAAAGTGGCTGTTCTGTGCCTATCAATGTCACTTAGATCTGAAGGGTCCTGTTTCCCCCACACACACACACACACACACTTAACATTGGAAATGCTAGCTGCGGGGGCTTTGTGTAAGTTTCCTTCTCTGCAGTTCTGAGATTATCATCATCTTAGAAGGAACTGTATGGATCCATCAGTCCAGCCCAAGTCAAGGAGGAACTGTGGGGAACTGAACTCTCAACTTTGTCCTGATCATCTCTGTCTTGGTGCTTTTGCCACCTGATTTCCGCCGGATCCCCTCTGTTCCCTGACTCGGGGTCAAATTAGACATTACATTATGGTATATGTGCCATTGCAGCATCCTTGATTGTTGTCGTTGTTTAGTGGTTAAGTCGTGTCCGACTCACATTATGGGATGTGTGCCATTGCAGCATCCTTGATTGTTGTTGTTTAGTGGTTAAGTCGTGCCCGGCTCTTCGTGACCCCATGGACCAGAGCACGCCAGGCCCTCCTGTCTTCCACGGCCTCCCAGAGTTGTGTCAAATTCATGTTGGTCCCTTCGATGACACTGTCCAACCATCTCATCCTCTGTCTGATTAATGAGCATTTATTGTGATGTGTGCCATTGCAGCATCCTTGATTGTTGTTGTTTAGTGGTTAAGTCGTGCCCGGCTCTTCGTGACCCCATGGACCAGAGCACGCCAGGCCCTCCTGTCTTCCACGGCCTCCCAGAGTTGTGTCAAATTCATGTTGGTCCCTTCGATGACACTGTCCAACCATCTCATCCTCTGTCTGATTAATGAGCATTTATTGTGTTTCTATCCTGCTTTTCCTTCAGTGAGCCCAAGGAATCATACGGAGCTCTTATCCCCTCTCTCCTCCTTCATCCTCACGACAACTACTCAATAATTTTCAAAAGGGATAAGAATCTATGTTTCCAACGCTCCAATCCTGCACTATACTTGGCTCCAAGCTGTTTCCAAAATGGAACAATAGCTCCTGATTCATATAGTGCACATATAATAATAGGCTTAAGTTACGGGACTTCAGATTTTGGTTGAACATCAGGAAAAACTTCCTAACTGTTGGAGCAGTACAAAAATAGAACCCATGAGCGCTTCCACGCTGGAGGCCTTCAAGAAGAAGCTAGACAACCATCTGCCCAACATCCTTTGATTGAGATTCCTGCCTTGAGCAGGAGATTGGACTTGATGGCTTTACAGGCTCCTTCCATTATTCTATCATTCTGTGTCATGGAGAACTACCTAGCTGTATTCACTGAGCTGGGTTTCTGGCTGTGGGGTCAGAGGTTGGGGGTTCGATTCCCCACTGTGTGAGCTGGGGGGTCAGAGGTTGGCAGTTTGATTCCCCACTGTGCCTCCCAAAGGAGGAGCCAGTCTGGGTGGCCTTTGGCAAGCGGCACAGTCCCGGGGATGCTCCCAAAAGAAGGGAATGGGAAATTTATTTATTTGTTTGTTAGATTTATATATAGCCTATCTAGAATGGGTGGGCAGTTTACATATAAGATTTTAAGTGAGCTGGGGGGTCAGAGGTTGGCAGTTTGATTCCCCACTGTGCCTCCCAAAGGAGGAGCCAGTCTGGGTGGCCTTTGGCAAGCGGCACAGTCCCGGGGATGCTCCCAAAAGAAGGGAATGGGAAATTTATTTATTTGTTTGTTAGATTTATATATAGCCTATCTAGAATGGGTGGGCAGTTTACATATAAGATTTTAAAAAAATAAACTAAGAAAACCACTTGAAAACTCTGGAAAGGTTCCCCATAAGTCAGAAATGAATTGGCGGCACATGATTATTTCTATTATTATGCCATGGCGAAGGAGGCGTCTAATAATAGGCAACAGTTTTTTTTTTTAAGGCGGTGGCGTTCACCTCTGAAGCTCTGCCTGGAAAAAAAACAACAACCTTCCAGAATTCAGCCTCTTCTACCGCTTTGAGCCCAACCAGCTTGACCCTGGAGGGCCACCTACACACGGAGGAGAGTCCTCCTTCAGCAAGGTCACTGCTAATGTGTGTGTGTGTGTGTGTAGGGGGGGGAGAGAATGCCTAGGAGATGGAAGGATTTTTTGGGGGGGAGAAATACCCAAGGGTACACCAGCCAAGAGAGGCAACGCTTCCCCACCCCCCCAACCCCCAATTTCTTGAAATTGGCTGGTTCCTTGATGAGGTTGGAAATGACACAGCCTGCGCTCGGACGCCTGGGGCCGTTTAGCTTCAGTACATCACGGCTAAACAGAAGGTGGCTTCTGCCAGCGGACGACTGCTTCTGGAGCTTTATGGCTGTCATTGCTGGTGTGTAAAAAAAAGAAGAAAAAAACCCTTGCCTGTTTCTCCCCTCCAATTGCTTCTCTTTATCTCTCTGCCTCCCCCCCCACCAGGCCCCCCCTCTCCCTGCTCCCTGATGGGCCTTCCTTCTTCTTTTGATGGATCCAATCCTCTCTCGGCTGTGGGCTTGCATTCGTAGCTCCTTGCTAATTGCTCAGCGCACCGTGCTCGGAATGAAAGAGGCAGATCCCTCGCACTGGGCTGTCGAGAGAAAGAGATGCAACCGGCGTTCAGCCCACCCTCCTCCCTGCACAGAAGAAAACAGATTAAAAATAAAGCACCCCCTTTCGAGAGGTGATTGATGCCAGATCTGTCGTTCCAGATTCTTCAGCGTCGGGTGCCGAAGCAAGGAGAGGAGAGAGGGAGACGACGCTGTTGCATTTGTGCGTGTGTTTAAAGTCCTCCATGCCGTCTTTTATGGTCTTTCTAAATGACTTCTGTGTGTGTTGGTGTTTCCTTGTATGGGGGGCTTCGTTCTTTAGCTTGAGATGCTTGCCGCTGTGCTGTTGTTGCGGGAGATACGGGTCTGTTCTGCCGATACGGTGTTTTCCTTGTGAGGCTGGCATGTTTTCGCAGCCTTTAGAGTGCAATATATATATATATTTGTGCTGCAGAAATGTAACGATCCGGCTTATTTATTGCAACCTCTCTTCAGTCCATCGCCTCCACATGAGCTCACACCGATTTTTCAGGATTGGCAGTAACTGTAAAATCAAGTAAAATTAAAATGGGGGGAGGGAAAGAGAGAGCAGAAAATCAAATGCAGTGTAAAATGGGCATAAAAGCCCAGAAATAGAGAATTGTGCAGTGCGGTCCTGTAATTTCTGCTCAGACCTAAGCCCTGTCAATGTTAGAGGGATTTACTTCCATTGAAGGGTAACGTCTCCTAGATCAGTGGTTTCTCAACCGTGGCTCCCCCAGATGTTCTTGGACTGTAACTCCCAGAAACCCCGATGAAGGCTTCTGGGAGTTGTAGTCCAAGAACATCTGGGGACCCAAGGTTGGGAATCATTGTCTGAGATCAAGTGGCCTCACCTCATGATGGAAGGGGCCACACGAACTCCCTCCTCTTGCCTCCCTTCCTCTGATCATCATCGGAAAATCTCAAAGATAGATTAGAACCCAGTTTAGGAGAAAACCTAATGGAGGACAAGCTTAGTTCTGTGTCTTTCTTATAAAAAACAAGAGCCGATTGGATCCTGCCAAAGCATTCTCCAGTCAAAGCATGTGAATGAATATTCACAGCTCTTTCCTCCCCCCCCGAAGCAAAGGTCCCTATAACCAGTAGGCTTTCTTGTTATGGAGCTGTGCTGCAAGAAATTTCTGGCTGGAGATTCCTGTAAATCATCCAAGATAAAGCTGTCCACCTGGACTCCCCAGTAGATGGAATCAGTCACGGCTTGGTTAGATGTTGTGACCGCCAAGTCATTTTCAACTTCATGGGATCCTGAAGAGGGTCTCCAGGGTACGTGTGAGGTGTCCAAAGAGCGGTTGGCTGTTGCTACCCAGCAGCAGGTTTTGATGGCTGAGCCAGGATTTGAACTCACATCTCCTGAGAGTCTCCTAGTGCTCTGTCTACTAGTACGCGTGGTTCCCAACCTCCTTGGGCTGCAACAGCCGGAAAGCCCAGCCAGCACATCTGGATACTGAAGCCTTCTGGGAAGTCCAGTCCAAGAACATCTGGGTCGGACCAATGCTACCCCTTACTGGCTTTTGATGTTAGAGGGTGAGGGATAGTAAGTTCCTTGATGATGACGATGATACCGTTGAGTGTTACTACTGCATTTAAGAAGGAGGTTTTGAACAAAGCCGGAGTTAATTAACCATGACTCCATTTAAAAGGGCCTGGGTTCCACCAACTGTTGGTTGCTGCTCCATTGATCATCTTTCACCACCCCCACCCCCAGTATCCATGCCCAAGATGACTCCTGACGTAAAACCTCCACAGTCATTTTGGTTATTGGCTACCCAAGGCAAGGCAATGACCGCTACAAGTTGATCTCATGGGAAGACACTGCCTTGTGTTGTATGGTTGTGTTTATTACTCCTAAACTTCCATTAAGGAAACTGAAGCCAGTGGATGCCAGGATGCGGGCAAGGGAAGAGAAGGGGGTAAGGGAGGCAGAAAGTGGGTCTCTCCTGTGGTCTGCTCTGTGCTCTTCTCAGCTAGTTTTCTCGTACCAGATGGGGTGGAAGATGCGGTCCCTTTCTCGCTGCAGAAGATGGGCTTGTCAATCCTGCTGGTTTCTGTACGTGGAATGGAGGTGGGGGGGGCCCACAGTGCCCTTCGCCTCGGGCAAGGAAGTGCCTTGGGCCAGCTTTGAAACAGAGAGACGGTGAGGACTCTCAAATGGCGACCGTCTGTGCCAACCAGTGGCCCATCAGCTGCCAGCGATTGGCAGGAAAGAGGAGAAGAAAAAAAGACGGAAAAGTCAAAATCAATGAGAATTAAAAAGCATTTCCAGGTTGGAGGCCTTTTTTTGTTTTTTTGTTTTTTGTTTTTGTTCCAAAGCCACTCAAAAGTCTGTCAAAGGAGAAGAGGAAAAGTGGAACCGCCGCTTTTGCTGATGTTTGACGGCCCCGGGCGTTGGCAAGCGGCCAGCGATGTCCACGCCAGGCTGAAGTTAAAACCCATCGCATTCGCTCCTGATGCCCAAGACGGAACAGATGGCGAGGCACCGAGGAGCACAAAAGGCCCGGTTGTCATGACAAAAGTCTCGGCGTAAAGCAGAAACAGTGGAGGAGGAGAGGTGGGTGGCCGCATGCCGGGTCGGTGGCACCTGGGCCAGGAGGTCGGTGGTCTCTGTGCCACCACCCCCAAACCCACACCCACACCCTGCTCAGCCCCCTCTCGCTCCTTGTGGACCCACGATGAAATGACGCTTGGAAGCTGCCAAGAGCAGGAATTGCAATCCTGCCTCCCTGCGGTTTTCTGAAAAATTAGCCAATGTCTCTGATGATTCCGTGGCAGCTCCAAGACATGCTGTAAAGGGAGGTTCTCAGAGGTGTGCGTGTCCGGATGCGTCGGTGGGGTGGGAATCTCACACATCAGTCTTGTTGCTTAAGCTGCTGGAAGCACCTGAGGGCAGAAGGGAAGGACGGCCGTTCCCAGAAGTCATCAGAAGGAGGGCCGTTTCATTTGTATATGTTAATTTATTTAAATCGGAGCCGATTCAAAACAGTCTCGTGCACAGGAGACAGCCATTTACCAATCAGCATTATTCCGTGTCATTGCCTCTCCTCGTTGACTCTCATGGGACATTAACGTGTCTCGTCAAGTTGGAATCCCAGAGTCCAATCAACGGAGGGTAAAGGATTTATTGAGTATTCCGAATTACCCCTGCCTTGAAAAGGCCAGATTGCCCACCTTGTCTGCAGCCCTAGGTGAGGATCATTCAGTGAAGCTGAATAGTACAAAGCTGGGGGGCGATGGGACAAAGAGCCCCCCCCTTCATGAAGCCCATCGTTAAGCAGAGAACTTGGGAATGGGACCCGAAATGGGATGATAGCACCCCGAATTCTGAGCATGGCCTAAAGGGAGACCGTTCTCGGTGCTGTTCTGGGAAAACGTCACCACTCCCAGGCTCTGTGTTGGAAGAATGTATGACCGTTGAGCAATGGCTCTGTGTGTGTGTGTGTGTGTGTGTGTGTGTGTGAGAGAGAGAGAGAGAGAGAGAGAGAGAGAGAGAGAGAGATGACTGGGGCCATCGCTCTCACCCTGGCATGCGAGCAAGCCGCACGCTGTGGGACACTTCCGTGCCCTCTTCGCCGTGCGCAGTGGCATGACATGAGCACCCGTGGCAGGTAAATGGATGTGAAGAGGTTCCCCAGAGAAAGGGCTGGGAAAAGGTGCGACGTGAAGAGCTGGCAGGAGTTTGCTCAGAGACTTCCAGGCGGGAGCTGAAGCGGGCGAGTGCCAGCGCTTTGCGGTTTCGAGAGGCACAAGGCTTTCCGCTGAGCGAGAGGATGGGTGGGGTGGGGTGGAAGGAAACAGAAGCGGGAAAAGGGTGACGAGGGGCTTGTGGGCTGGTTCCTCCACCCCACACGATAAAAGAGGAAATGGCTGAAATGGGGAACTTCTGCCTTTTAGTTAAACGAAAAATATATTTATTAGACAGCGTGATTCAGTGCAGTGGAGAATAAACCAAAGCTGAAGGAAGAAATTGCCAGAGATATAAACAGGTCTAGGTGGTTGGTTCTTCAGATGGCTTGTTCCGTTTTCTTCGATTACATCCCATAATTACCCATTCTTGATGTTCGACTTGATTTACACACGCCATCCAGACACTGAAATGTGGCTCACCTGGGAGAAAAGGCCTAAACAGGAAGCCTTTGAGGCTCAGCTAGGCCTAGCTCTGCCCAAGCTTCCTGTTCCTGCCCCAGTGCTTGCTGGGAGCTTTCTTTCTGAACAGGAAGCTAAGTGGAGCTAGGCCTAGCTCAGCCTCAGAGCCTTTCAGTTTAGGCCTTTCTCTCAGGCGAGCCACCCTGAAATGTCGGCGAGGTGGGTGTGTAGAACTCTCAGCATGGAGAATCAGAGGATTTGTCACCCTAGAGATCCAGAAATCCTATCCGTAATTCATTTAAGAATGGGTGGAGTCTCCTCTTAGATCTTTCCAGGGCTCCCTTTGGGATCTGGGGCCACTTCTGTGGGTTTTCCTAACCTGAAAAAGGCCGGGCGTGAGAGAATAAGAATTGATCTTGGACATGGCGTCTGGTCTTCTCAGCCACAAAACAGAAATTCGGAGCGTACGTTCAGACTTCAGCAGATCCTCCTCAGGTCTGGGACACAGCTTGGGGAAAATGGCTTTGGGGGATTATCTTTTCAGGAATCTCTCGGACGTCCTGGCCACTGCCCATACCCCCTGGGGGAGACTGGGATACGTAGTCCCAAAGAGTCCCTTTCCCAAGCTTTGGAGCTCGGATGCATTTTTGAGAAAACGAGGCCGGGGGAAGGGAAGTGCCTGGTTTTAAAGGAGAGTTGCTATCCATGGAGATTTCCAAATGCTTGAGTTGCCCTTTTTATTTTGTGAAAAAGAAAATGAGGACGATGTGGGATCTTCTGAGGGCCTGCCGGTTGGCCTAACCCACTACAAATCCAATTTCCTTTCGTGTCTTTGCTCTTTCGTTCTTTCACCTTCACCTTCCTCAAAACACCAACACATTTCTTCCCTTCTGTCCCTCCGCCTCCCTTTTCTGTTTGTTCTGTCAAATCCCTCCTTCAACTCCACCTTTTCCACTAAGCCTTTGGCATGGCGCCTTAAGAGTCCCCAACGGAAATCACGCCTCACGCCTCATAACTGCATTTCCTCACCTATTCCCCCAACCACCACCTTCCTTTTTCCTCTCCTCCTTTATCCCCTCTTCCCCCCCCCCGGGGCTGTAA